GATGATGGGAGGATGGATGGAAGGATTGATGGATGATGGGAGGATGGATGGATGATGGGAGGATGAATGGATAATGGATGGATGATGGATTGATGGCTGATGGGAGGATGGATGATGGATGGATGGATGATGGGTGGATTGATGGATGATGGGTGGATGATGGATGGATGATGAATGGATGATGGATGTATGGATGATAAATGGATGGATGATAGATGGATAGGTGATAGATTGATGGATGAATGAATGGAAGGATGGATGATGGATGGATGATAGTGATGGATGGATGATGGATGGATGATAGTGATGGATGGATGATGGATGGGAGAAGAAACTGCAGCATTTAAATGATCTCAGACCATCTTGATGAGTTTCATGTTTCCAGCTGATCTGATCTGTGAGAAGATGTGCACGATGTGCACTTTGTGTTTCTGCTGGTTTTAACTGAAGCTCTGCGCAGTGTAGTGAACTAGGCCTGATGTCAAAACCTTGACCTTAAGGACCATATGGGACAGAACTTGTCATTTCATTGATTTGCATCCAGAAATACAGGTTGACCCATCCTGAGACTTTCTTTCTTGAATTAATCAAGTGAAAGAAGACTATTCTCTATTATCATTACTATTTTACAAATGTTTGATAATCAAATTGTGTTAGTTCAAACAATGTTTGAATGTTGAAGTGAACTACTCATTTTTATTAACTGTGAAACAGTAATAATGATTCTTAATCCTCATTCAAAGAAGAAATCAGGTTAATGATGCATTGTCTGATTTTCTGTCTTCAGTGAGCAAGTGTGTAAGTTGTTCAAAGTTCAAGTTTCGGTCAACTGCAAGTTTACTGAAAAAGAAATGTCATGTTTAACTTTTACAGCAAGATACTGGAGAAGTGACTCCACGAAGTCTGAATTCTTCATAACAATCTTTTGTCTGTTCTTAAACAATCTTAATCTTTTTCCTTGACTTTTCATAACACCTTACATCACAAAACACACCTCTGTTTTGGTCAATCGACCAATCAGAAAGTTCTCAAATGAACCGGAAGTGAGCTTCTTTAAATGTTGGCACTTCCTAGTTCAACTAGAGTTAAAGTCGAGCAGTAAGTTGGAGTTGGAGTCAGCTGATGATGGAGAGTTCTGCAAGAGGTTCCACCTCCAGTTGGAGTCAGGTGGAGAGTTTGCAGCTCCAGCAGTTCCAGAGTTCATGAAGGCTGGAATTCAGGATGCTGATGAAAGAAAGAAAATCAAGCTGAACCAGAGAAGATCTGGGAATTATGAAAGTCTGTCTGGATGACCTCACGACTCCCGAGGTTTAGCTGTTCTTACGGAGACGCTGAAAAGTGGCTCGAAGTGGAACTTTACGCCGGAACTGACATATCTTCAGAAAGGTAAAAAGTCGATCTTCAACCAAAGTGTACCGTTGGGACAAGCTGGTCCAAAGGAGCGTGCATGTTCTGGTTAAAACAGACAAATTCCCTCACACATCTCTCTCAAGATAAACTTCATTTCCCATCTTTAAAATTCTTCTATCTAGTAGAAATCATTCCAGATATTTTTAGAAATGTCTAAAGCAAAGTTTTTCAATCACCGCCGTGTGGTTAATAATCTGTTGTACTACTGGAAGTGAGAACAATCGCTGCATTGTTTACTTCCTGTAAACTGATTAATATGTCGTTATTTTCAATTCTTGCCAATTAATGTAAATGTGTGATGTGTTAAACTTGATTATGTTAATAAATGACCCACTGTCGTTGGTGAGTCAAAGATAATTAACGTCTCACGTCCACATTTTATTAAATTCAGATGCACGTTATTATACAGTCCAGAAAAATGAAAGAATCCGTTTTATCTATGAATCTATTTATCTATGACAGCATATGTTCATCTACAGCAGACAGAGAGCTCGTTGGATGTTTTACATTTGTTTAAAAACATGTTCATCTATAATTGTGGTTTAATCCACCAGTGATGGTGTCAACAGGACCTTTTTTGAACCAGATGAGTTCAGATCCATCAAGGCAGACTTCAAGGTCGCGACCTCGTCAAGGTCTGGACAACAGCTGAAGACCTCGGCTGAACTTATCAGTTTGTGTCCTTGCTGGTTCCCCTTCCTTCCTTCTTCTTGTGTTTTTAACCTAAAAGATTTATGTCAAGTCCAGGTCCAGAGTCACTCTGAGGTGACTCCCCTCCAGTTCCATCAGCCGAAGACTTGCAGACTCTGACCATCAAACCTGCCTCTCCGTGGCTCTGGTTTCCTCCACAGACTGAGTGAAGCTGCTTGAGAAAAGCTAGTGTGACATTTAAACTGATGCTTGTTCAAACATTTCTTTTCTGATATTAGTGGTTTACAAAGTCTGCTTGCCAAGAACTTACTGAATCAAACTAGATTTAAATTTACATAATGACAAGAACAGCCTGATGTGGCCTCTGACCTGCTGGTTTCCATTAACTTTGGCCCCTGAGCTGAACAGTCCTGGCCTAAACTATGTCCAAACATTCTTCAGTTCTAGATCAATATAGAATCGTGTCGGATCATAAAGGATTGTGTCTGGTGTCTGTAATCATTGTGAATATAACTCCATTATTAAAAGTCAGAGTAAATACTTCATGCTAAATGTCAAAATTCTTAGTTTTCATTTTGTTGTTGCTTCTATTGTTTATTGATGATTTTTTAAATTTTGCTTTATTTTCATTTTATCAAAAAAACTCCCCAAGACTAGTTTAGTCTCTGTTATAAAAAAAAGTATCTGTAATGAAACGATTCAACCCTCAGATGATGAATAATGAACTGAATTAATGTAGATGTTGGATCATTTGATGATCCCTAGCAGTTCATTGCTGAGCCAGATCTAAACCTTAAATGTTGAAAATGTTGTAAACATAAATTCCAGCTGTTTGTGGTGTTACTGTTTGAACCTGTAGATGGCAGTAACTGCACATCATGTTCTTTAGTGACCCCCCTCCCGCCCCCAGATCATATTTGACCCAGGTGTTCAGACTCAGTGGCACAGACAGACTTGCTCAGCTTCCGTCCAGCTGTGTTTGGAAACAGGAAGCTGCCGGCCAGAAGATGTTTGGCCCCCGCTGCCTGTATCCTCTAGTTTATGAGCCAGCTGTTCCCAACATTATTAGTCTGGAGACTGCTGATACACCCAGGACAGTCCATGACAAGGATATGTCCACCTCTGCCCAGCCTCATGTTTGAATGCAGACATTTTAACTTCAACATTTCCAGAGGGTGTGAAAATCAACCCTAACCTGGAGTCAGTGTGAACTGTCGTCTCGGTCTACAACCAACGGCCCTGACTTCAAGATTTATTAGTTCTGTGCGACCTCCAGGCATGTTTAGCTCTGTGCATCCTGGATATGACATTAGCTACTTAAGATGGGATTACAGTGTTAGCATTAATGCTAAATGTAGCACAGTTAGGAAATACATTTGTCTGTGGTTGAATATTTCTGTTGTAACAAAACTTCTTGATAGAAAGTATTTTACCCATCTTTAACCCGTTTATATCCCCTTAAACAGGCGTCACATTTGTAAAATAAAAAAATGGATGGACTGTACTTGTATAGCGCTTTTCTACCTGTTCCAAGATACTCAAAGCACTTTACAACACAATCTGTGCCTCATTTACCCATTAATACAGCACTCTACTAAAAAATGTGGTTTGAGTTGACTTGTGAAATTTTCTCTGCCAAACAGCCTTTTCCACTGACTCTGGTTTGATGTCTTATTAGATTACAAGATTCAAGTCTGAAGGAAAAAAGCATATTGACAATAAATCTGTTAATTTAACAAACCTGAGTAGCATGGGGAAGAACCATGCACAGCCACAGCAGCCTGGCACCTTTTCCTTATATTGCTCATCAGGTTGGTCATACGCTGCAGTGGAATGACATCCCATTTTTCACACACTGCCAAATTCTTAAGGTCGTTTCTGATAAAGTCCACTCTGTGGGACGAGTGTTGGCATCTTGGAGGGTCATTGGGTCCCAGACTGTGGAGATATGGGATTGCCACCTGTGGCAGAATCTCATCTCGTGGAATACCCGCTCCACACCCTGTCTGATATTCCTCATTACTGGAAAAATTGCCGTCAATTTGGAGACTGAACCGGGCTCACTCCACCGAAAACTGTAAACTGGTTTTGTGGAACCAGGTTAAAGTTGCTGTAAGGCCCCAACCAGATCAGTGAGACACTAACTGACTGCTGGAGCAGAGCTTATGCTCGTAGGTGATGACGATCAGGTGCCAATCAGACAAAAACATCATCACTCCGCCTTTCAAGAGCAAGAATAAAGGGTGAAACATACAGTCAACATTTAAACAGCTTTTATCAAACAGTTTCTGTATACACAAACTGCTGCAGCATAAAGGTACAACTTGACAAAGTAGACCTAGGAGTCCTGAA